CGCCTGGTCCATTATACTCCTGCTATGAGTGAAACCATCCGGTATTTTTCTTTCTCTTTCTGGCTTATCTCACTCAGCATGATCTTTTCCAGCTCCATCGGATAGGAACTTTTAACAGTGAATTTCAGTAGAACATCTCTGGAGCAAATGTGTGACTTCTTCATTATTCATCTTTCAGGGAAGTATACTCATGAGTTGCTACACTATGACTTTAAGGGTCTCATTCATTGTAGTCACATTTCTTAGAAGAGTAATTGGTAGGGTAGAAAGAAATGGCTTTAGATAGAGATGTCTTAATGTCTTATCCTTTCCTGTTCTAGCAGTGTGATTGAGACAAACAATTTCTTTGAACTTTCCTCTCTCTGTATAATGAAGCCAATAACATTAGTACTGTTGGGAGGACAAAAGATATGCTCTGTATAAAGCACCTGGTACAGAGCCTGGCTTACCAGGGTATACACTCAATGTTGGTTGCCTCACTCTTTATCCTGGTGCAGTTCTTGTCTTAACCTTCATCTCTCTTTATACGTAGAAAATGTCAAAAAGAGTCAATCTGGATGAGACTGCCATTTCTAGTCTTCCCAGACTCCATCAGTCAAATTTCAAGCCCCCTTGGCAAAAAGCCTGAGCAGAAGTGGAATTGGGTCCACCTTGAGGCTCAGAGGGCTCAGTTTTCAGGGGATGAGTTGATGGGTTCTTTCCTGTGATGCCCTGCTAGTTAATTTAGGGGACTCTTTATTAGGTCAGGTGTAGATATGAGTAAATACTAATCTCCTATTGTCTTTACCATGGTTAATGCTTGAGTATGCATTCATTTTTTGGTACTGTGTGCTAGTCCAACGATCAGATATCATTATCAGTCAGCATCTTGGCAGGAGAAAGATGTTACCCTGAAAAGGGGGGAGAGTGAAGAAAGAAGAATAAAGGGGATGAGAAAAGGAATGTCTTGGGTGGCAAGACACTTCTAGGCCTGGAATGGCAAAGGACAGAAGTGATTCGCAGACCTGGAGGTACAGTTGGGAGCCACACATCAGTCAGGGATATCTGCATAGGAATTCTATTCACTGCTTCCACAACTGGAAGGAAGCTAGGGAATAAATGTTTCATTTACTCCCTTTGGGTCTTCTGTTCTTCCTGCACCACTTATTGGCCATGGCCAACCAGAAACCAGAGTAAAGGACCATATGGATTAGTTTCCCCATGCACAGAGCACAATGGAAAAATATGGCATGTATATATTGAGGAGCAAATAGACATAACCATCATGCTTATCAAATTATGCACGCAGAATAATCTTTCCATTTCCATCGTTCTTTTGGTGGGCTGAAGTTGCATGCCAGTGATGGACCGACAATATAAATCCTCTACTTAAGTTATAAAAATGCTTCTCATGTTACAGATGCTAATTTCCTGTGCTTTCATATTTTTCTGGTATTATCATGAACTTATACCTGGCAATTAGTGGAATTGTCTACACTGGGTATAGAATAACAGAAAAATTGGGATGGGTTTGGGAAGGATGTTGAAAAGGGAAGGATTGGTGGACACATTTTATATATTAGGTTGTTGATATAGTACTTTAAATATTTTTGAAAAGGGGAAAAAGCACACTGATCCTGATGATTATAATCTTTGAAATCAAAGTTTAATCTTGCCTGATAATATCCCATTCATCTACACATTTGGGCTAATTGGTTGAAATAATGCCTTATCTCCACTGTTGTCTATTTCTATCTGATATTTCTAGTTCATGTGGAAAATGAATGATACCAATTATGAATTTAGTAGAGGGTTCATAACATTTGGGTTCGTCTAAGCAATTTAAGATGTTTACATTGAAATATACAGTAAGAAATAAGGTCACTTGGGCATAAGGACACAAATCCACAACAAATGTGCTTTGGTTTGTATTTTGATTTTTGTTTTAAATGCTCAGCATTTCATAAGATCACTGTTAACAATTAGAATTTCTGGAGAATAGAAATACATATTGTTACTAGCAATTTCTTGACGTCAAAGAAATCCTAAAACAGAATGAATGATGTTCCAGTAGAGTATTGAGCACATATGTGAGAGAAATGGAAGCTCCTAGTCATCTTTATGGAAGATATCACCATTCATGTATGGCTTCTTTGCAATTATGCTGCAGAGTAAAGAGCATGTTATCTTCTTAGAAGCAAAGAGTTTGTAAGGAAAGAAGAGCACATGCCTAGACTTGTTCCACTGGTGATACCCAGGCTGGGGTTTTATGAAGTGTCTTGATTCAGATTTCCAACATATGGATTTTGGTCCACAGTAAGCATAGGTTCTTATTTTGGGTGATTGATGCTGTCAAAGCAGATGAACTCAAAGTATTTTCAGTGTCCCTCTTTATGCACACAAAGTCTGATTAATTTTTTTTTCACAAACACTTTGATTTTTAGCTTCGGCACAAGACTGATAATCAAGTGAATAATCGGAAATCTGAAGTGCTCATCGACAGCAAGTAAGAAATACATTTTGTGGGTAATTTTTAGGATTTCTGGGACCTCAAAACTAGTCTTGACATTGGTGATTATTTTTCCTTAGATTACATAAATATACATTTCTTTCTCCCTTCAATTAAAAATGGAAACATAAGTCTATTCTGTCTCTGGGATTCTTTGTTGTGTTCAGCAAATGATTGTACTTCTCTCTTAACTTTTTTTTTTTAAGGATTTATTTATTTATGCATACAGAACTGGGGTACAGGCCAGAAGTGTGGGAGTGGTGAGAGGCTTCACCAGAAACAGAGTGGGGAGCAGAACAGATTGACTAAGTACACTGCTGAGGGGATCAGTGGGTGGGTCAAGAGAGGTCTGCCATTCCAGGTCGGTCACCCCCAGGGCAGGGATTGAACTCATGCTGAAGGCTTTAGCTTCTTAGTACTGTGCTTTAACCCGCTATGCTACCAGTGAGGGCCCCCTCTTAATTCTTACTTTAAATTCCTTTGGTGTCTCTTTTGTGGAATACAGGTATTTTTGTCATTTTTCATTTCTGGAATTGGCATATGTTATATTTGTATGAGTTAGATATTTCAGAAATATTTGAATTATTTAATTTGCTAATTTCTGGGGAATGATACTAGAGAGACTTTGATACATTACTGTATCAAGTGATAGTGATACAAACTTTGTATTCACTTGATAGTTGAATTTAATATATAAATGATATAATAAATTTATGTTACTTACCACAATATGAATTTTTATTGCTTTTAAATTCATCTATGAATAAAGGAATGCTTACAGGAATGATTCTTAAATCTGAAATATATTGAGACATGTATTTACACACAAACATTAGCAAAAACATCTCCTGAAAACTTAGCAGAGGTAAATTTCAAACCTTTTATTCTATTGATTCTTCCTCTCTTTGTCCTGTTTTTGCTGATAAGCAAAATAAATTTGTAAATAACTTACTTTAATCTGTCAGTCAGTCACACTGAATGATGATTTTGAAGAGTTTGAATATTATGTAGAATATAGTTTTAAAAGGGAAATTTAAAAAATAAATGAGTCATATAGGATGGAAAATTCCCAGAAATTATAAAGGTACTAGGAAAAGCTATGAAATCTAGAAAATTGCTGGCAAGATTAAAGTAGTTAATCTCTTTCACAGCAAAAAAGCTTACTGATCACTAATAATACAACGACTACACACTGTTTTCTTTTACTGACTTGTTTCAGAAAATGATTTTGGATGCATAATGAATAAAAATGATTTTGATGTGAAACTATAACTGTAAAGACAGATAACCTCAAAGTGTGATCCTGGTGTGACATGGATAAACCATAAAGATGCCTAAAGCCATTTGATTCATTTCCAATGTTAGAATTTTTTGAATTGTTACTACTATAATATGGTGTGCAAAAGCATGGGTTTTGCTCTGAGAGACTTCTGTGTGAATTTGACCCTGCATAAGTGTGGTCTGAGGTAAGTTCCTGCATTCTGTGATTCTGTAAACTAATGTGGTATGTGGCTTTGAGCTCAAGTGCTGCTTATCGTGACTTTCTCAGGCCTTGCTGTTCAGACTGGGTATATGAGACATTAATAAAATGTGTCTTTTCCCTAAAGAACATGTAATAATCTTTAGGGAATAATAGTAATTCCTTTAAGAACAAAGTATTTTTAAAACATGTACATTTACATGATGAGTGTGAACTAATGGCCCTAGCATATCTTTTAATGTCTCTCTAGTTTCTAGTTAAATTTTTTGCAACATCTGGACAGTAACAGATATTGGGGCCTCTATCTGAAGGCTGTGGCATTAATCCAGTAATTTAGATATTCAAGAACTGCATGACATTATTCTAGCTATTTATGTTAGCAATCATTGTCATTATTATGAGAAGTAGTATTAGTATTATTTTTTGTTTTTGTTTAGCTTTGTTGATTTCTTATGAGATAGCATCTCTCTGTAATTCAATATGGCATGATATATTGAAAAGTATTATTGTTGGCTCTCCCTAGTGGCACAATGGGTTAGCACGCAGCACTGCAAGCTGGGCACAGCCACTTCAGTGCCAGTTCAATCCCCGGCCCCGGAGGTGACCCACATAGCGCATCAGACCTCTCCTGGCTTGCCTGCTGCTCCCCTCAGCAGTGTATTTCTGTTGATCTACCTGTTCTGCTCCCCACTCTGTTTCTGGTGAACCCTCTCACTGCCCCTGCACCCCAGTTCTATATGCATAAATAAATAAATCTTAAAAAAAAAGTATCATTGCTGATCCTGTAAAATTGAAGGAAGAAGCACATATCATTGATAACGGAGCATTGTTTAGGATCCAGGAAGAATCAGGCAACATTTTCCATTTGTAAGATTCCCCAGTACCGTAAGCTTCTCTAAGGCAGGAATCATCTCTCTTGACCATGTTTGTACCCCGTGAATATAGCACAGTGTCTGCTGAATTTTCAAACTGACCAGAAAGAAGAATTCTTGCTGAACAGGCAACTATCAGAGGAACTTTATCTACCTAATTTTGCCCAACTGCATAAGCCAATAATAGCTAGGGTGGTGGTTACTGCAAAATGTATTCAGACTGAGTTTTCACTTTTTAGATCTTGAGACATTGGAGAAATCAAATGTACTCAGACCTGAGAGCCCAGGGAATGCTTAAATCCTTATTTAGAGTTAGTGGTTGGAGAGGAAGCTTCTGGGACTCTTTCAAGATCCCCATTGTCTTCTGTGCTCACTCCCAGCTCCCCTGTGTGTTGCTTGTAAAGACTTGCACCTCCCGCTTTGCTTAGCCTGAGGCTCTTGGGCTGCTGGAACCAGTGACTGGTAGTGCTCAAGTATGAAAGAACATTGCTCTTATCTCCCTTATCCCTTTCTCCAAGAAGCACTTTCCTAATGAACCACTTGCATGCAAACCCTCTCTCAGAACCTGCTTTTAGGGAATGTGATCTAAGATAGTGGTAAATGTATGCTTGTCTCCATGCCACTGTTAATGGAAAATTTTGAGAACATGTTTTGGGGATCTATCCTTGGCAACTGTCGGTGATAATCCAGGGAGAGAGTAAAAAGCCTAGAGAGGGCCAGGGGAAAACAGGTTTTTTTTTTTTTTAAAGATTTATTCATTCGTACAGAACTGGGGTACAGGCCAGAGATGTGGAGGGTGAGAGGATCCCCCAGAGACAGAGCGGGGAGCAGAACAGGCAGATCTACGAAGTACACTGCTGGGGGGAGCAGCGGGCGGGCCAGGAGAGGTCTGCCTCGCCATGTGGATCACCTCCAGGGCAGGCGGGAATCGAACCCATGCGGAAGTGGCTTAAGCCTCCCTGTGCTGTGCTTTAACCCGCTGCGCCACCAGGGAGGGCCCGGAGACCAGGTTTTAGGTGGAGTGGGTGTCACTTGGCATGGGCACAACCAGAAATTTGTGGCATCTCTTGTGTGCTCCAGGAAGAAGATCTTGGACTTGTGATCTCCATGGGCTAAGCTAGGCTGGAGTCACGGTCAGCTCTGGGGAGGAGGCAGCTGTTAAAACCGTGGGCAGAAAGCACCTGTCAGAAAACCTGGGTCCCTGTAAGGGATCACTGTGCTCTGTTAAGCAATTTCTTTTTTGTTTTTCCTCCATTTTAAATAATTTATTTATTCATATATATTTTACTTCAGTGTTCATTTTTTTTAATGTTTATTTTTCTTATGGGCTCAGGACTCCCTTCTCCTGGGGTCAGAAGTGAGAGGCTGGGCATTTATGTTCATACTTAATACATATATGTTGTGCAACTGCCAGTGCTTCTACATTTAACTACTCTAAAGCCCCAAAATGTGAATAATGGTGCCCCTGTTTTAGAATTGGAGAGATTAAGGCCAGGTTTCCATGGCAAGTAAGAGCCTAAATTAGACTTCCACTTATTTGTGAAGTAATTTCTAAAGTGGCCTTTGAGGTTTGATATGTCTTCACTGTGTATTTTGTATTGAAACAGTTTTGCATGGTTACATAATATAAACATGATTACATAATATATATTTAATTTCTGTGTTAACATATATGTAAATAAACACACATACACTTTCAGGGCCTGGCACTTTACTCTTCTACATTCCTAACATTGTAAACCTAAGCCACTTTGTATGCTGACATTATACACTTAAACCACAGATAATTAGAAAAATAAAATTCTTTCTTTATAACTTGCCTTTTCAATTCATTTTTTTTTTTTTGGTTTTGTTACTCATATTCTTTTCCAATCAGGATCAATCTTCTGCATGTGCAATCTGTTATAATACGTGAAAACACCTAAGAAATATGTGTTGCATTAGTCTGATAAAATCTTTTGGTAACTTTAGTTTTTACAGTAATAGGAGTAGCAAGATTTTTCATATTATAGAAATGAATGTTACCACTCTATAGGAAATGTATATTGTTAATCCACACTCTGAACAATCTGCTGCTCAATCTGTGACTACCAATAGCTACTCTACTATTTCACCAAAGGAAGCTTCCTTGAATCTTGCTAACATCCTTGGCCATAGTAGAAACAAGTAAGCAGGTGAGGGACTTGAGACAGACTCCGAAAGTTCCTGCTAAGGTGATCTAATTGGTGCTTCTCATTTGGGGTGCACTCTCCATCAGCGCCCCATGACACAGCAGAGCAGTTAAATGAGGGTCTCGAAAGTGAGGTTTTGATGGTTTTAAAGTTTTTAAGACCATATATGTAGAGTCAAGAGTCTCTAGTTGAAGCCACCTCTTTACCCATATCTGTAGCTTTATGCCTATATTTCTGTGATTTTAAAGGACAGACAAGGAAGAGAACTCCATTAATTTTTAATATGGCATAAACAGCATTTATTCACACTATAAATTTTCTTACAAAGGAATAATTACATATGTAGTAAAATTCACGTTTTTAGCCAAACACTTGGTCAATTAGTAATTATTATGCTATGCTTTTCTTTCAGAAATTCAAGATTTAATTTTTCCTCTTTGATATTTTCCCCACCCACCCAAGGGCACCCTTTAT